TCACTCATTGATTTACTTGTCAGTGCAGGGCTATGATCAGTAGTTGTGGTGTGTGTGAGTGTGAGTGCGTTTGTTTACTTGCTGAGAGATGAAATGAGAGTTGTTGGACGAAACAACAGCAAACCCACAATAAATCACTTAAGAATAAATGTGAGAGGAAATTGATCCATGGAATATAAGGCAGCAGTAAGTAAATAATACTTTCTTATTGAATTAACAAATGCTTTCCTACTCTGGTTTGCATTAACAAAATCCTCCTTGCCATGTCTTCAAGGTCTGAGCTCTCAGGCACAGCATTATGCATAATTAAGCAGAGAAATTGCACATTACTCGTGGAAAATTCACAAAAAGCATCTTGTCTCCCTGACTGACATGATCAATTCAGAAACCCATTTCACAACCAGGCATACACCTTGAGAGAAATGAATTCGCATCAGCCTCATTTTGAAGTCAAACGCAGAGTCATGTTGTCCCTCGGTGAGTGCCCTGCTTCAAACTCAAGCAAAACAATTTTTTGTTTTTTCCACCATAGAACCTTGAAAAAATATACATCTGCCGACTAATGTGACATGATGCTGAATCACATAAGGCTGCACCAGCCGGAAACGACATAAAATGTGGATATTATTTGTGATGACTGGAACTTGAGTCTTTCCTTAGAAATTTTGAGTCTAAAAGTGTGGTTCAACAGCAAATATTGTGTTTCGTGTCTACATGGATTTATGTGGCTATGAATCAATTCACTTTTTTGTTAGTTGCCCTTGAAACAACACTGTGTCTAGGCATATCTGCTATATTAAGAAAAGGGATATTGATAGAGAGGATGGCATTGAAATCAATATAGTCTTACTGCCAAGCAGTAGTCCCCCTGGTGGCTTGATGGGCTTGTGCTCATCATGGGCACAAAGGTCTGAGTTTGTATGTAATGACCATAAAAATAAAATTTAGCCAAGTCATTAATAGCTCCTGACTGGGGCTCAGAGGTGCTCTCGTCTCTGTTCTTTTTCTTCTTTCTTCCTGTACTGTTTATTCTGTCATTAATCAATTTGTTTCCCAGATGTTATCTGGTTTATGCATTACTGGATGCAATGTTGGATTATGTTCATTAATGGAGTTATCACAAGAGAAATGTGCACTACACACCCTGAGTGTAGTGCAGGAAGACAATGAATTTGTGTCCAAACCAAAGTGTGTGCCTTTTCATTCTTTATGAAGGCTGGACTAAAACCTTGGAAACCTTTCTTCTGAAGCAAACCACTGCCACCTAGTGGACATACTGTCAACATGCCTGGATACGTTTAGAGGTTTCAGGATCTTTGTGAGTGAATGCATCGCTTTGAAAATGTCACCTCATTTCAAACTTTGCAGTCTGAAATAGTTTTTTTCACGTCTTCTTCGTCACTGTACCCATAAGGTCAAATTCCAGAGTTCATCTGACTTCATATCACTGCTCCTATCAGAGGGTAATTGGCAGCAGACGGCAAGCCCAGGGTCCCACTGGTCTGTTTTGTTTACTGAGAAAATTTGGCATCCTTGAAATGCCTCTCCGCTTTATCGCTCTGTCTTTCTGAACCAACTGCAGTATGCTAATCCTTGAAGACTCCAGCTCCCACCTGCCAACCCTCATTATTTTCATGCTATTTTTGAGATAAACAATGTAGAGTAGCTCGGTGCCAGTGAGATTTCCTCCCATCATACAGTAATGAAGATGGAAACAGAACCACAGGCAAAGGAAGACATTAAGACTTCAAATCAAATATTTGCTTATGGCAAGGTCAGCTGCCTTAGTGATTCCTAAGATTCTGATCACGTGACTCGTTAAAAATGAAAACTTTTCAAAGTTTAAAATGTTGTTAATTACCTTTGCAATGTTCAGGTCTATTTGAGTGGAACAACAGGCATATTACCTTCAGCAAACATATGGCTATAACTGTAGCTGTCCCAGTTTTATGACAAGTAATGTGACCTTCATATCAGATCTTACTCCATATGTTAGATCCAAATTGAGCCGAGTGTTTAAATTAGCCCATGGTAAAACATACATATTAGGCTATGTAGAATAAGACTGCAGTTCAATGTCAACTGAACAAATTTCTTCTGCTGATGTGATATGGTCAAAAGCTCCATAACAAGTGAGAAAGCAGCACTGAGTCAGCTCTTGTTTTCAAATGCGAGGAATTCACTGTCAAACTAAAACTGAAATTTGATTCTACCAAAATGTGAGAAAATATGATTGGACTGAGTAGACATAGGAAATGACTATCTATCCATTCTATTTTTTCCAGATGCGTGTCTTTCATTTCATGCCTTTACTACAAACACTACAGGATGTCAGGAAATGAGGGAGAGATGCAACAAACGTCCAGACTGGACTCAAACTGAGGATGTTGTGGTCCATGATAAACATCAGAGGTGTGTCCCATCTACGCATTTGAATCAATAATTCAATCATCCTTTTTTAATAATTTACTGCATTGCAATTTGTGAATTCACCTAAAATGATTAAAAATCAAGACATGAAATTTGATTGGACCAAGAGCTGATGGAGGACTGATACTGAAACTCACTCTGATTAAAGTGCACTCCCTGCAGGCCAACTTTAACTGCATGATATAAGAAAAAAAATACTCAAATAACAGTTCAACAATTGTACCATTCGGCAGTGAAAACATGTATAAAAATTCTATAAAAATCAATAGGATTCTTGTAGGAATATCAGAGATGCCAAAAAAGACTCATATTACTGGAGACATGAATAGAAATACTATTAACATATCACAGAGGTATTAGGAGTATTTAAAGGTAAAATACCAACAAAGTACCTAAACTCAAAGGCAGGAGAACAACAGCTAAGGTACAGATTTAATTTCAGAGACTGGCTAAGCAATGGTTGGGATGATCTGGGATAAGATTTAAATCTTTTACCTAAAAAAGTTAATTGACTAACTTCCTAACTTTGTCAGATTGAACTGTGGAGTTGTGTGATCAGAATGATGGCTTCAATACTCCAAGACAAAAGTCTAAATCACAGGTTCCCCCCTTCCTTCTCTCTGCACCTCCAGCCCTCCCCCAAAACTCTTGGATGGTCTTGGCCTTATCTCAAACACCTCTATCCCCCTGCATACAATTAACCCCTTCCCCCACTCTCTGTACTCCATCCCTCCCACTCTTGACCATTACCTTCATTAGCATAAGCACAATAGCCAAACAGAGCAAAGACAGTGAGCAAAAACCACAAAAACTAGTCTCAAAGCTCATTGCTGTTCTTTAGCCACTAGCTTGGTTTGACCTGTTTGTCTGTGGTTATACAAAGTGATTGTGTTCTCCTTTCCCCCTCTTTTGCTTTATCTTTTGTACAGCACACTGGTTGTTAACATGAATTCACTCGGCACAGCCTGACACGTCTTTAGGATCATTATGCACCGCAAAAATTCAGCCACTAAAGTGAGCAATTTGATGTGTTAAGCTTTCCAATTTATCCTACCAAAGAATCAAATCAACATGCAGCTGATGGGGCATAAGATTAAAAGTGCTTAGAAGGGGGTTATTGGTATCACTTGAGCAGAACAATAGCTCACTGACATGGAAGATACGGCCATTGACTGGAGAAATTACACACACTTTAAAATGGCTTAATGCTAGCAGTGGTGAGAGGTATTGTGGAGCATGAAACAAGTGGTGGTTAAAACAATTTATAAGGGGTGGTGTGTTAATGAAAAGACATAATGAAGCACTTCCTAATAGATAGATATATAGATAGATAGATGACTGGTCAAAAAAAAACAAAGCCAAGGGTTGATGCTGATCGATTGATTTATTGATATACAGCCAGTACAGACTGCCTCACCTGCTGACTGAACATAATGCAGGCTGTCAGTATCAACAGTACCAATTACAGACATGTGATGAATAAGAAAATAAATACATAAAGTAAATGTAAACTGAAATCTATTATGGCAGTTTTTATTGGCAGTTCTGCAAAACACGTTTGTCTATGTGGAGACAAATTGGAATGGAACTTCATATACAACTAAATAGTAAACAAAAGTAGCTTATAAATGCAAATTTCCCCCAGTATTTCAGGGAAATAGGTAGTTTTGAAATGAAGGAGTGTACAAAAAATAAAATATCTTCATTTATATTCAATTTTCAAGTTATTTCTCAAAAATAGAGTTGTAGGAACTTAACCAGAGTGTGCCTAATGGTTAAGAAAATACATTCAACGGCGTAATGGGAACCATTTTAGTGCAAATATAGTGTGACAAAACTCACAGTTTATAGTGATGATTACCAGAAAAAGGAGGCATTTTCAAATGCCAGAACCTTGATGCAGCCACCGAAACCTTCAGTGCACCAAGTGAAACCCTGAGCTTTAAATTCAATAAAAAGGAGAAAGATGAATTAAGGACAGAGGATGTCTGAACAAGAAGTCATCTCTGATGTCTGAAATACTGGCTGCTCTTTACATGCAAAGAATCAAAAAACATTAAACCGCCAAGAATCCAGATCGATGTTACATGCATCAACAAAAAAGCATACATTCAAGCATAAACAATCATATTACAATGAGAATTGAAAAAATAAAGGCACCCAAGTACAATGCCTAGCAGGGATTAAAAGACATTGGAGAAGAAACAGCCTCAAACAAAATGCCACTAAACAACAGCTTTGAACTGCTTTTTGCCTGGAGGGCAACATGCAGGGTTTAAACAGACCCACAACTCAGTTTCTTTTCAAACACGTGCAAATGTCCAGGAGGAAGGAATGAGCTGTGGTGGTGGGGCAGAGAAAAGACACAATGCATTTAGATGCTAAGCCAGTGTACTCAACAGTCCTGTAGAACATGAAAAAATAAAGGGAAGAGTGTGTAGCTAGTGTGTTTACAACAAAATGCTGAGGTAAAGAGGTGAATGTGAAGGTTTTAGGGCCAAGAAGTTCCTCATCAGAGCTAAGATTTTGCTTTCAAAAGCCCATTTTTACAGGATAAAAGCTTTGGGCATTTATCCATGAACCAGTGACACCCCATGATGCAAAGCTCGCTTCCACATGTAGTAGGTCGAGCGTGGAGTGAAGGGGAAGTAAGACCGGAATTCTTTAAACGTAGGGAAGGATTTTTCCTCAAAGCGTTGCTGAAGGAAAAGCTTGGCCTTGGCCTTGAAGTTGGCCAGAGCCACAACATCCATTGCAAACATCTGCTCATCTATTGGTGCCTTGCCGAGAAGGGTGTGCTTTGAATGTGGGGCATCAAAAGAGGGCACGGGGGAGCTTTCTCGATATCTAGGGCTCTCAACAAATGGGAGCATAGACTGACTCTCCACCCTCCTCTCCGTAATTTTGTTTTCTGTCGTGGTGCTCTGCGGAATCTCAGGGAGGACGTCGGCACACTGGACGACCATTTTCTTCTTGCGGTTCTGCCTGCTGCGCCACAGCCAGTAGAAACAAGGGGACATGGACGGGAACTTGAGCTTGAACTTCGTCAGGGACCACTTTGATTTCTGGACATGCAGCTTCGCAGCATCTCTGAGCTGTTTTTTACTCATGTACGCCAGCCTAAAACTTCTGTGTTTTCGCCGGCAGATCCTCATTCTGGGCATGGCAGCCTGGTGGATGTTAGGCAGGACTGGTGACAGACTTTTCGGACTTTGACTCTTGTCAGCATCTGAGCTGTCCTCGCTGCTGCCAACACTGCCTTTGTAACCTCTGCTGAACAGCATGGCTTCTCTCCTCCAGTTGTAGTAGGTTGATCTGGAGATCCCAGGGAAATTTCTTTTGAAGACCCTGAAGGGGAGGGAGGCATTCACCGCGATGCAATTCTGCAGACAACGTTTAGCTTCCTGCATATGTGTTACATTCTGGGCCCGCTCTAGGTCCAACTTGCCAAGGCTGAGGCCAAACATACTGGCCACGCTGTCATGGTGGTCCGGCTCATCCTGCTTTGCTTCAGGTGAAGACCAGGCCTCCTGCTCCGTACTCTCTCCAGGACTGATCTCTCCAGTTGAAGATGAGGTGGAGAAGTTTCCTCCAGACTTCAGAAGCTCATGCTTCCAGTTATAGTAAGACGACCTTGAGATCTCAGGGAAAAACTCCTTGAACTGGTGCAGAGGGATGAGCTTTCCCTCCAAGTAACAAGCTTGAAGGAAATACTTGGCCTCATACCTAGCTGCGGACTTTTTGCAGTGCTCCTGTGTCTGCCTCTTCCAGCGGTAGAAGGTCCTCTTGGTGATGTTGTACTTGTCCTTCAGACTCGGGTAAGAAAGCTGCGAGTCCTGGTTCAGCAGCTCCTCACTCTTGATGGGGGATGCCCTCTGCTCACTGTCAGGACTTCCAAACGTGAGATCTGTGGCCTGGGCTAGTGCGACAAAATTATTTGGCCTGAACAAGCCGTCAGACTGCAATTCGCCGGACCACATGATGTGGAGGGTTTGTGGCTCTGAGTCTTTGGGCCAGGTCCTTGGACGTATGACCCGGTTGAAGTAGGGTCGGATCTTTAGGTTGAACATGGGGTAGATGGAGTAGATGTCAAACTGAAGGACCGATGATAGGGCGTAGACATGCCACATGTTGGCATAGGAGCCAGGGAAGCAGGAAGCTTTGACATCTGCATCAAAGATGGCCTCCAAGACTGTGACGGGCAGATTGAGCATGTCCTCGGACTCTTCAGCACAGAGACTGAAGCGAACTGCCTGGAGCATCATTTTAGAATCAATCATCCCAGACAGGTAGTATCGCTTCCACAGCACCATTTCCACTACGGTCCGCACCTGTGGCGGACAATAATAATGGAATTAATATTACAGCCATTATGTGTTCATATCATCAGCTAGAATAGATGCATCACTGTACATTCAGACCAGAGACAAAAGATTATAAACCATCATTACTCACCTGTATCTCCAAGCTAAGACCTGTGCTCCCCACTAACAACATGCTGACTGCATCAAACAGCAAGTTGCCTTCTCCCTTGCAGTTTACCGGCAGGAGGCCCCTGGGTGCATCAGCCGGGTACAGGCCGTGAGCTGTGTCGTCCACGCCTGCCCACTCAGGGAACTCTTGACAGGGGGTACTGGGAAGCTGGAAGGGAGCGAGGACCTGGTCCACCTCCAGGGCCACTCTGGTCAGAGCATCCAGGCCAGAGCTCTCCGTGGCCTCCTGGAGCTCTCCCAAAACAGACAGCACGACCTCGTTCCTCGGAATCATAACTGGAGATCTGATGAGCGCTGGGAGGAGAAAGAGGAGGAAGTGAAGGAGAGGTAAAGGTTAGAGAGAGTGGAGGAGGAGAGGATCCAGATGTCTACATTCAGTGAAAATGGATGACTCAGGGAAATTTTATGAACTCTTAACAGCAGGGGATAAGCTTAGGAAATTTGCTCATGCCTTTGTTACCACTGGACTAGATTATGTAGATCAGCATGGTTTATCCATACACAAACAACAGCTGCAACTTAATCTAAACACTGCTGCTTCAGTTTTGACTGAGAAAAAAACACATGTATAATTTGTGGTAGTGGCAGACAATAAATTCCTGTATTATTAAGAATTAAGCTGATTTATAATGTACTTAAAAGAATGTTCTGTTACTCACCTTGTTGTCCCAAGTCGCATGCTTTAGTTTTTTGGGTTTTTTTATAAATGCAAAAGCAAGGCGGGGTTTATACCTCATACAAATAACACAAAACAGTCAAGTGAAATTCGATGATTTCACAGGCTAGTGATTTCATATAGATTTTTCTATTTGCAAAGCAGCTGCAAAAAGAGACAAAACAGACCAATATAATACAAATTAAACTTATTCAGATCAAATTCAAAGTCATTACCTACTTTAGTAAGGCCTACTTTGTGTGGCGTAATGTTTTTTGTGTTTTTGTTCTAAGGATCTCTCTCAATTATTTGCCTGTTTCCATGATTTCAAAGACTTAATTGGATTTGCGAAGTTTCGGCCCCTACATTGAGTCAAACGCGTGTCTTAATAAAATACAATCCCCCACTTGTGGCAACGCAAAAACAAAATTGGAAACGATCGTTTTTCTTACCTAAGCGTCCAGAGACTAAAATGTGTCTCAAAGGAAGTCACTTAATTGTAATGCGGGGTTTCACAGCTGATGATATTGATCTCTCTCTCCGTGAGTTTTAGTCCATTGTGTGCGTGTAGCTCCGGAGTGTCCTCTCCTCTGAGCACGGGAGATTTTGGGGAGTGATAAGCAGCACCTCCCATCAGGAAATTGTCAGTCGTCGATTCGCTTTTTTGTTTCTGCGTCGAGGGGACCCCCCCACCCCCCACAGCTCCCTCCTCCTTCTCCCCCTCCCCTAGACTACAGCCAGGGTCAATTTCAATGTGAAGTGTTAACAAAAGCCAATGTGTCAGGGGCCACAAGAACACAGAGGCAGCCCTGTAGGTTAACTGGTATCGGTGCCTTTAGGTTTTATCAACACGTTTTTGCTTTTCAAAGCCAACTCCACATGTCAACAGTTCACTTTCAAGGTTATTCGTCAAGTGCTCTTGGCGTCAAAGGACGATCTGTGGTTATTTTTCCCTCATGAATAAATTCCTACGTGCTTGCACAGATACATTTTGTGGGAGGTTAATTGTGTTGCTTGATAAGCTTAATGTGAAATCCCCCCTTAATGTAAAAAAAACAAAACAAAACAGGAAACAAACAGTTTTACAGCCATGAACTTGCTCGTCCTTTTACAGTTACTACTAGTAGTAGACAGTATGAAGCCTAGTATGTGGATTAGAGTGGATATGTGCAGACAGGGTGTGGACATGAGCTTTATGAGAGGAGAGGAAGGCTCCTGAGCTCCAGCTCTGTTTGTTTCTCCACTGTATCACTTTTAACACCTCCTCTCCTGCCTTTTGCAGGATTTCAGTAATCAAAGCCTTTTGTTCCACACACGCACAACAATCCCACCGATTGTCCCCCAACCCCCCACGGCCCACACTGTAGATCCCAACCCTACGGCTTGTTCCCCCTACACACACACACACACACACTTAAATTCACACACCAGGGGACAATGGCATTTGGCCCCCGCTGCTCTGTCCACTACAAGTACTGGGCAGACAAGCTGGTGCCTGAGTTCACTGGGGTTCAAGGGTTTGACCTGAAGCTTTATCAGCTATTTGGACAATGACTGTGTGGTTGGCCTTGTTGGGAGGGGGTGGGGGGGGGGTTCTGACATTACAAGTTGAGATAATGCAGAGACACCCACGTGTTTGACCTAAGATGTTTCAGAGGTCAGAGTGTGTTGGAATTTTTTTAATACAAGCAGCAAGTTCCAGTTAAACAGTTACTTTAAACTGACAGTACATTTTGAAATAATGACATAATGTTTGTATGGAAAGGTCAAGGAAAGTGTCTGTAAATTGCATCAGTGTAGTGGAGTGTAAGAGAGAGGTCACAGTCATGTCTCTTGTTCATCTACTCACTTTAAAAGTGACATTATTGGTCATTGGATTTCATTGTTGCTAAAGTGAAAAAACCTCAAGAGAAATCCAGCAGCACTGCAGCCTTGTGTACTGTTCATTAGGAATCCAGAGATGATAGAATATAACACCATTACACTGACCTTGTAGAAGAGCCTCATTGCTGAAATGTACTCTCAATACTGTATGAATATAGTACATATGCTACATTAGCCCCCGATCTTCAGCTCTGAGTGCGAGTTCAGGGACATTTTCTGTACTTTGATATCCGTCTTAGCATTTTAAATCTATTCATGGCTTTACCTCTTCTACATTCCCTCCTCACCTTCATCTTCCATTCACTTTAAGGCTATAAACAAATTGGAGAAAATATGCTCCGTCTACTTTCATCCTTTGCATCCTGTTTTTGAAAGATTACATCAAGAAAATGAATATATTCAGGATCTGATTAGCATATCTGCTTCCATTTTACATGCTATGTAACGAGGGCCTCTAACTTATCCAGGTACGGCTTCTCTTCTTTATTCATCCCCCCTTTTCTTGTCAGTGTGTCTTCACTATCTCTTCAACCCCCTCAGACTCTTGGCTGTAGTCAATCACACACCTTAGGTGTGTAGATTAGCTGTGCTGCACTGCACTGTGAACACAGTAGTGGGCTGGCTGCAAGTATTTAAAATGCAAATAGGGCAACACTGGGACCGGCTCCGGCAGTCTCTCACCTGCTGTGGCTGTGTGTGTACTGTATGTGTGTATGTGTGTGTACTGTCGGGGGAAAGTGGAAGACTGAAGCCAGCAGTACACTCCAAACACTATCTAATTTGGGTTTGCACAAGGAAAATGGCAAAAATGTGCCTGGATAAAGTGCTGCATTTGGCTGCACCTCAAGTTTCTGCACTGAATGAAAATACTCCATCACCTGCAAAGATATTATCTCACTAAACAATACCATTGAAATATTGCTCTTTGGCAACAGGTTTCTGGTTTTTCAACCATGTCGCCTGCTACCACATCCTGCAAGTCCCTTCACCTGGTTTGATATCGAATCATAAAAAAATCCTGTAAAAAATATTGTGCGTTGCCATATTCAGCCGCACTCTAAACAGCTTTTGAAATACACCAAATTTTATTATATGCCAAGTTACTTGAAAGGGAAATGTTCAGATAGAGTCAGAAGAGTCAAGATAAACAAACGTTAGTCCACTGGTCTCTCTTCATATCTACAAGAGTCTCCTGAATTAATGGCAAAGTTATTCTTAATTTTTTTTTATTACATACTTAAAACACAGGTACAAGTTTTGTAAAGAAAACAGTCATAAAGGTATAAATGACAATTATAGTCAATCTAAAAACATCATTTGCATTTTCATGTGTGTACAATATGTAATTTTCCAACCATTCACCATGTTGTCCAATAGCCTAAACATGTAAAATGTATTGAGGTAGAATATTCAAGAACCTGTAAAAGTTTTTCATAGCTAAAATACTGAATGTTTCAGGTAAAGGGCAAAATACCTGTCAGGTCCCTGATGACTCTAGGTGCCAACTACAGTAACAGTACACTGCTTCGATGTGGTGTGTTTCACAGTATCAGGGTGCATGGCTGAAGCTCACAAACAAAGAAAAAAAAAATACACAGCAATTGATATTTGAGCAGTAGACTACATGTATCGGACACAGGCGTATTCAGTGGACTCGCACTCCAGGACCAACACTCGATCGGAGACAGCGGGGAGAATAATGTCAGCATAGATTACGTCATCTGTATTCATAACCTAAAGACACACATACGGACATACATACATGACATGACATACAAAAGCACATGATGACAAGATGTTGTTCCACATGTTGTTCAAAGAGAATTCACTCACATTGTTGGAACCAGACTGGACTGAATGAGGATCGTCAAGCAGCTGGCTGTCTAAAAAGAAAAAATAAATGCACAAATTCATATTTGTATACAAATCGTGTTTGTGTGTTTACATCATCATCGCTTTGCCTCTAAGTTATGCGATCAGATCACTACAGTATGTACTTCAACTATTTGATAAGTACACAGGTTATATAAGTACAATACAGTTAACGTCGCGACATACATTTGCAAAATGATTATGTAATAATTATGCCGGGAACAGTGGAAACATAATTTATAGGATATTAGCACATCGCCCGTAAGTGATTGCCTCAAAGACCACAAAACACAGTTGTGCAAGATGACGTGCAGACACCTGTTTAGAAGCGACTGCGTACATGTGCACATGCATCGACCAGCCGCGACATTACAACCAGTTTTCGGTTTTAATATAAAACCCAGTTTCAGGTTTTAATGTTGTGGCTGATCGGTGTATATGTGACAGTTTCCCGTTTAAGGCAATTTCAGCTGGACAGATTCTATACGGCTTCAGGAAGTATAGGAGGACTTACTTCTCCTTCTTCTTGTGTTTACAACAAACACTGCAATCACTGCTGTCAAAACCACACAGCCCACAACCCCAACAGCTGCCCCAGTCACATCCTGGTTGCCACCTGTAAAAGCAAATGATAGTCATATGTTTTTTTTTTTTTGTTTATGGCTGAAACAAGTCATCTAAATCCATATCTAACCTTAAAAGATTAGCCACAAACTATTATTTTATATTACTAAATAAGGCACTTTAGTATTTTGGTCTTAATTAATACCCAAATTGTCAAGTGCTCTCTTCAGTAATCCAAATAAGATCAACCCTGAATTTAATGTAATTTTATATTATGATATGATTAAATTTTCTGCCTTTTGCTGTTTTGGTAGGATTATTGATTTACATCAACTGTTTTGCTAGTTATCAAGCTTATCTTGTATATGTGCAAAAATACTAGCTTCTCATACCTTGAGGTTCAAGTTCCGGTTCTGGGATGAATCCTTTCCCTTTTCCTCTAAGAGCTACGAAGAAAAGAAAATAGCATTTGTTATTAATTCTTCCGCATTTAACAAACAGGAGTCTATTGGTTTGGATCAGCGATCAACAGACCTGGGGCTCTGACCCACAACTCAGCTGAAGTCTGGACTTGTTCATCAATAGTCGCCTGGCACCTAAACTTCCTGATTCCAGGTTCTTGAAAGGCGACAGTCAGAGTTATATCACAAGGGGACGGCTGATTTATCTGATGATAGGAGTCTTCTTGTATCTCAACACCGGCTTCATCCACCCACGTCAGACGGATCCTTCTTCTGGAGCAACGTCCCCTATCCACGTAGGTAAGGGCAACACACTGCAGTGACACTGTTTTGGCAGGCAGGAGGTTTAACACTGGGGCAGCTGAAAGAAAGAAAAGAATGTGTTTATTGCACAGATTTCCTTTTCTTATTATCAGGTGAAATGTATTCTGTATGACCCCACACAACCATAAGATTTTAAGCTTGATAGCACTCACTATTGTGAGAAGATAAGTTATTTGGCATTTGTTGGCAGTGATCACGTCCAACATCCTCTGCGGTGAGATCTTTGATTTGCAGAGTGCATTTCTTCTCCTCTGATTCAGCGGTCTGGATCTCTCCATTACTGACTATGGCAAAGTATCGACTTGTTTTCCATGTGCTAAACTGCCATAAATGAAAGCAGACCAAGTCTTCTTCACATGGAAATTTAATATCATAACTGCGTTCTGCTAACGTCAGACCACTTTGTCCTTTTACACCTGAAAAGAGAAGATGAAGAGGGTCAGAATATTCTACCATGTCTTTAAGATAAGATTATAAAAGTGTAATCACAAGTTAAGATTGTGTTAATGTTTCTCTTACCTGTTGTGATGAAAGAGAGCAGCAGCAGACTCATCGCCATGTGGACTGTTCCAGCCATCCTTCAAAACTGTTCACTGTGTACACTCAGGGTTCACTGTCGTCACTCCTCATATTAGTCAACTGTAATGTCACTTCCTGCGTTTGTCAATGTCCTCAACCTGCTGATTTGGAAAACCTCACCAGCTGTTGGTCTGACTGTGTGTCTGAGTGCGAGGCGTCATACAGATACCTGGCAGAAAAGGTTCGCAAAAGCAACACAGCAGTTCAATTAAGGGAAGCTATCTTTTCGGTTTGACACCAGAAACAATATTTCTCCACATAAGATAGCCTACTACTAATGTGAATAAAAAAGAAGAAGAAAGGCCAAGGCCATACATTTTCTTCCACCGGATCCAGATTATGATTTGGATTTTGCAGCAAATTGTACAAATTCATGAATCTCAGAACCATATCTATATCTGACTTTTTATGTCAAGATCCACACATTTTTTCCAGAGAAATTGAAGAAAATGTTGAAAATGTTCACAAAAACTTCCTGGATCTGCCCCTTTAACCGGATCTGCCCCAAACATTTTAATGAGCTCTTCCCTGGCCCATGTCCCATCCCTCCACCCAGTTTGGTGCAAATCGGTTTGGTATTTGTTGGGTAATCCTGCTGAAAGACAGACAGACAGACAGACAGACAGACAGACAGACAGACAGACAGACAGACAGACAGACAGACAGACAAACAAGCAAGCAAGCAAACAAACAAACAAACAAACAAACAAACAAACAGACAGATAATGGGGAAAACATACCCTCCTTAGAGGAAGTAATAAATGTATTTGGGTTCACATGGGCTCCTTTCACAGGAAATTGTGACAATGTGTTTCCTCTGATAAATTGCTAATAAAAGCATGGATTCTGCAGTTAAGGGTGAAAATGTAGGAACAGCCTCAAAGTTAATTTTAATTTCTTGTCATGTCTTTGTAAATCAGTATGTAATCACAACACTGGGACACTCCCATCAATACAAAAGCCATTCAGATGTTTTCAATATTGAGTTCAGTAAGCTATTTGAGGTTTGTATTGCTGTCTGTTATATAGAGTATTGTGTTGTTAGCACTGTGGATTCATTAAATGGTGTCTCACTTAAAAAGTACATAAATAAAAACTTTTTTGACCTTCAGTAGTGCTGATTTGTATTCTGGCTTTTGTTCAGGGTTGACAGTCGACTGTTTTCACAAGATGTGTGAGGAAGTTTAAAGATGAGGACAGGCTGTTTTTTCTCCTGTGGGTCCTGTCAGAAGAGATGTCCTTGTGATATACAAGAAAAGATTATCCAGAGGAATTCAGTGAAAAGCACAACAGATACCAGTAGCAGATGTGAAAGACAGAGTGACCTTTACATTTCAGTTTTGTTGATGCTTCTTGTATTTCTAAAAACTGCTGTTTACATTTCCCTCATAGCTTTTGTCTGATGGATGTTAGTCATTTTAAAATGAAAAAAACAATATAAGGAATATTTTTGTGAGTTAAGTGATTGAGGGTTGGATTGTATTTTCTGTGGGACTGAGATTCCCATTGCTGGACCCAACACAATGGAGGCAAATGGAATTTAGTTTGTGCTCAAATAAAACTTGTTAAAACTTACATTTGAAATGTTGCTGCAGTTACCCCTGCTCATCAGCAGATGGTGTTTAGGTTGAGTCCTTCAAAATTCATGATTCATGATTATGTATTTGTGTAATTGAAGTTTTATGTCACTCTTTCCACTCTGCTTTTTTGAAAATCAATTCCAGGAAATTCAAAGGTATTCAGGCCAATGTAATGACCAGATTTCTGTCAAGCTGAGGTCTTTACTAATAATCCCATGATTCATCTTCCTCCTCCTTGTAACTAAACCTACTCTAAGTGTAGTTACAAAATCTAAAAGTAATCTAAAGTTATTAAATTTTCATTATTTTTGTATCTATTGTCTTCCAGAATCTAGACAGTGAACTTGAGCCAAAGAAGGATGGCACTAAAGGTGGTTACAGTCGACGATTGTAAAGAACACACAGAGACTAAGAAGGGACAAATTTTAGACATTTAGTTTGGCATCTTAAAACTTGTATCCTCAGGTGCCATCTTACTGAATCATCTTATCAACAAATATGACACCATGATTTACTTAATTTCTGTGGATGTTTATGATGTTTATGTATAAGTTCATTGTATTGATATAAAAGTTCACATATGAAGTTTTTTTTCCATTTAATGTTGTTCAGCTCGCATGTGTAGAAGTAAACAATAAAACCAAAACTAAGCCTCATGTGTTGATGCAGTTAACCATCGAAAAGAGATTGTGACAATCAAGTCAATGAATAACATCATTTGTTAATTATGGAGACTGTCATAACCCACATGAACAACGCTGAATGTGACATGTTTTGTATTTTTACAGTTCGAGTGTGCATTAAAAAGACAAACATGGCTGCTGAATTGTCTTTATTTACCTATTTGTACAGATCTTCAGTGACAAATCTACACAAATAGGTTATGTATGCCTATGTTACAAAAATATCATGTCTCAGTTTTTCAGTTAAAATCTCTTCAGTGTAGCAGCTAACTCTAACTGATCAAATAGAGAATTCAAAAACTGCTTAAACTCAGACATTCAGGGAACCACACAACTATACTTTAGACTGAAAAATATGTTATATATGAATATGTATATATATATATATATATATATATACATATATTTATATCACCAGTCACTTCAAAACAACCTCACATTAATACAGTTACATCCTGTACATATTGCACCTATCACATCAGCTGGGTTTAATATTTACTGTTAAATAGCAATGACAGAGACTTAGATGTAGCATACCTTTGAGCCAGAGAGTGTCACCGTTTAGGAGCTGGCGTTAAAGATTAAACACAAGAAACTTTTACATACATAACCGTCCCTTTGCATTCCTCTCCACTCTCATTTTTTCTCATCATCACTCACCATCATACCACAATACAGTCTTGGAGATTTTCAAGTCTCAGCAGCACTGAACAATTCAAACTAGTAACAATTAGATTTTAAACAATATGCTTCCCAGAAAACATTTTGCCCTCCAACTCTGAGTTTCAGAACACCTGAGAGTGAATACAGGTGTGTTACATTCAACATACTGAAGGTTTTAGTGCATCTGTCACCTCCTGCTCTCCAACAACCTTTCACAAGTAAGTCTTCATACACAAATGCAGCATTCATAGACTCATTGCTAGTTTTACAAGTTTAGACGGAGCAAATTATCAGCTGGACTGATGAGTTACTGCCTTGATGGGAACTGACGTTAATGTGTTTGCTGGGGTAAAAACTTTTGATTGCTTCACAGCGAGAAATTCAACATTCAGGCAGAAAATACAGAGAAAATCAGGTACTGACCACAAACACATGCAGAAAGCAGACAATTCCCACTCATTAATAATAACTTGCACAATATTTAGCTAATATAGTAACATAAACAAATAAATACATCTCATCAAAGCCCCAATCCAGATGGTTAAATACAGTATATCAACTATTGCTACACAAAATAAACATCTCAAGTTTAGGGAGACACATAATTTAGTTTAGACATTTTGTCTCAATGAACGGTAACTCAAGGTAAGATTTAACTTTATTCATGAAGCATTTTCTGCTTCAATTTTGGAGGATTTGTCAAAGAATCATCTGTGTTTAACAACTCAAACATTCACCCCTCAAGTGCTGAGTTTCTTTTTAAATATAATGTGTTTTTGTTTTTTGGTGTTGTTTTTCCTCATACTGCAGGTTGTATAATAACAAAAAGTTCTAATACTCAGAAATCACCTACGATGACCCCTGGTGGACACTAGTATTTGATGAGTGAAATGAATGGGGGGTCATTAGAAATACTGGGACATACAGGGTCTCTCCAAATAAGAAAATAAAAACTTTACAGAACTTTTAAGGGAACTCTTAGCATGAAGATCTGACCCCACAATAACCGTATCATGGACTGCTTTAAAATATATTCAATGCTCATAGTTAGTGTCTACCTCTGGATTAGGTCTTTAATACAGCAGTGAAGTTACAATGATAAAACTTCACATTACTTGGTAAAACACAACATGCAAGAAACGAGACAACCAAACAAGACAAACATAATGCTACCAACATCCTGATTGACACACAGACACTTTGCACAGTCCCTGAAGAGCCCTTCACACCAAATGAATTTAGTCCATAATGGGTATTAACATGTGCTGTATGGACTAATAGTACGTTACAGATGATTGGATTACAGCTGCAATATGTTTTTTGGTTTAAAAGCAGACATCAGTGGTAAGGTCTGCATCTTAACACATGCTTCATTCCTTCTCTCTCGCTTACTTGGCTCTTCAGAGGATTCAGTTCAGATACAAACAAGTGCTTCAGCTTCCTTTTGCAAAATGAAGTTTACATAATATAAGGCAGGAAACTTGTTTCCAACATACATAAAAAAAAAGACATGACTTAAAATCAGTATTATATACAGGGGCAGTGAAACACTGCACATTTCAAAATATATTTAATGGAGATATCAACTTTCAGTGGCTACGCTATACACACAACCCAGCCACTCAGTCAGTTTTCTGGCTCAGTAACAAGTCTAAAACCAGTGGAAAGAATATTCATAAAAGCTGCTGTTCAAAGTTTTCACTAATCTCAGATTTCGTATCTCAGTTTTCTTCATCTTATTAGAGGTAATACCATCCCCTTAACAAGTTTGCATCCTCAGAGGCAAACCTCAACTTAAATTATTGCTAAAAAATAAATAAATGTTTTTCCTTTGTTAACTTTTTGACATGAAAGTAAAAACAAGCGTTTGTATAAACCAGGTATTTTCTGACTCAAAACTGGGAATGACTGGTCTGATGTAAAATGAGTCTAAACAGTTTGTATGTATATTTTGTCTTTCCATGCTCTTGTAAAGTGCCCAGGTTTGAGGGTGTGACCTATGTGCCATCACAGGCTGGAGGGTTGGGCCTGCTGCTGTATCTGTGCGTGGTGACTGGGCTGCGCCGGCTCACAGTCTTGTGGTCCTACTTCCGTCCCCCGTGCGTACATGAGGACAAGGGTGACAGTAGCAAAGGTAGCTGCATTCACTGGGAAGGCTCGTAGCAGCGTGGAGGTGAGACCTCGTGTGAACACCATATAGCCCTCTCTGTGTACACTCTGTCTCACACAGTCAGCGATGCTGCTGTACTGGTTGACTCCACCCACCCCATCAGCCTGGAGCCGTGATTTGATCACATCTACAGGATAGGTGGAGAGCCAGGAGGCGATGCCAGCCATGCCGCCAGCAAACAGCAGTTTGGGAATCATGTAACGATCATCAGGCTCACAGCCTAAGCTGCGTGTCAGCACATCGTAGGCTAGGAAATAGACTCCGAAGCCAGGTGTCTCGCGGATAAGCGTGGTTACCATGCCTCTGTTTACTCCCCACACACCCTCCCGGTTGTAGATCCGTGCCAAGCAGTCCAGGGAGTTCTTGTACAACTTCCTAGAGGATTTCTTCTCTCCAGTACCTTGCATTTGCATGCGAGTCTTAGCCAACTCCATGGGGCAGCAGATGACACACTGGATGGCACCTGCTGCTGCACCAGCAAGGAACTGGTTCATGGGGGTGTCATGTGCCAGGAGACGCATGGTGTTTCCTTGAACACCAAACACTATAGCATTGATGAATGTAAGGCCCATCATGGGGGATCCAATGCCTTTATACAAACCAAATACCTGTAGAGAGGTTCAGAGATGTCACACAAGGTGTTTTAACATATCAATATAAAATGAAGTCACCATTACCCAGGAACTGGTTTTCCTGTTAAATGAATGAATGAAAAACAAATTTAAGGACTTAAACTTTGTCGGCAGTTTGAGATATAATCAATTGTTGACTTTAACTTTTCCTTTTAGTTACATAACCGCACATACTTGACTAATGATGTCCTATCTAGCAAGCTAGCTCCTCCTAAAAGCATAATTTGTTATGGCAAAAAGTGCCTCGTATCTCTTCATTTTTTCAGGACAGCTATTTTTGTCTACCAGGCACACCCTATAATACTTCTTGTAATAGAAGTGCCTGCAGTATAGATGAAACGGTGTGAAACACTCTGAGGCTATTTAAATAATATGATTGTGAAAACAGGTACTCCTTCATTTTCCATCTACACAAAACTGTTACAGCATTTTGAATGATCTGCAAGGAAAGTTATTCAGAAGTCTTGAATAACAAATTATGTGATGCAAGTTGGAGTTTTAAAGACATTTCTCAGGCTGAGAATAGTCATCCTTATTGCTGGGAAAAAAAAGGGGGCAGAAAAAAAAATCAAACTGATTACACCAAAAATAAATGAAAAAACAAAAAACAAACAAAACATAACATTATTCAGATCATCAGGGGAAAACAAGAACTATGAAGCTTGAAAATAAACAAGCCAATCGAGTCTGACCTGACTCAAGAGAGCTACACTTATCCCCATTTGGAGTGTCCCCAAGTTTGGCCTTTCAGCTTCAGGTGCCCCATTTGGTCATAAGACCAAGAGCGTGTGACATAACTCGTTAACTACCAGATCACTCTGACCCCACTGACTTCAAACAGCTGTTTAGCCATGTCAGCTTTTTTTTTAGTTTCAAACCACACTCAGGCAAACAGCTTTGCAGGCCAGAAAGGAGGACCACATACAACAACAAACCACTTACAGAAAGAATCCTTATTTATTTCATTTTACTCCAAACACTGAAGAACTGTCAAACACATCAGAGCCTGGTTCACCATTCAAGCATTCAGGACATAACATAATATCATATCAGTATTATTACTGCATTAAAATGTCAGCATTAGAATTGTATAGAAAATAAATCCACCTACCGATTCCTGCCGTATTATAGACTGGAAACAGTGGAAGGTCCCGCGGTACAGTGGCTTATCAATGCTCTGGACCTGTAGTCTCACCTGCAAAAGAAGACACTCTTCAGCAATCTGTTAAACCCTGGAAAAATAATGTAAAATAATGCAAAATAACTGCAGACAGTGTATTATGATGAAATAGTACTTCATTAAAGTTCTTTTAAAAAAAGTATTGAGATAAATGTATAAAGGCTCATGCAAAGTTAACTGGTTGTATTTTGTAATGGTGCATGTAAACACAGAGAATTACCTATCATATCTTTTTAATTTCACTGAGCATTAAAAAATAAAAAAATCCTACCTTAACTGTGTCAAATGGGTGTCCAACCAAGACTCCAGCAGCACCTGAAAACAAAGGCAAAAGATGCAATGAACATTTAGTCTACAAATCATTCGTAGCATTCCGGTTTCAAATATAATGACATACTGTACCACTTCATCTTAACTTAGACCCTCCAATCTTCATATTCTTAAAAGTGATGGGAGTCATACTCATAAAAAGTTGACAGTTAAATTATCCAGGGTTATTTCAGTTGCAGTATGTCACAAGAAGACAATCTACTCTGATTGTTTCCACATTTTTATCTAATTTTTACAAAACCGGGATTATGACTTTTATGTGACATGTCATGTACTGAGATCTTTAAGCCTTTTATGAAAATATTGATATTTGTTGTCTTTCTCTTTTGTTACTAACTGGACTGGTTACTGACTTGAATGCTAAAGATCAGGGCATACTTGAAAAGTAATTTGCGTGACTTGTTGTCCAGCCACATGTAATAATAATTTAAACATGGAGATAGTAGCAAAAGCTTTCAGTCTTTCTAATCGTGCTTACTTCCTCACACACACACACACACACACACACCAGGCCGATCGCTGTGTCCAGAGCAACACTGTGTCGTGCAGCAAAAACCAGTGCATGAAACAACACACCCCCACTAGTGTGGCCCCTAATACTGCTTTAACACAGGGCATGTCTGTCTGAATGTGGCCTAACTCACTGCCTTCTCACACAGACACACACTCTGGTTGTATGATCGATAAAATCAGAAGTCTGGGGCTCCAAAACTCTGCTGACTCCTCATTACCCTGACTGTTAGTGCGCACATGCTTCCAATTTCTCAAAACTGGTGTTCAGATTCTAAGAAATAATGTCCTGCTGATATATCAGGCTGAATAAATCACTCCCCGTCTTATCTGACCATTCTTTGAAAGCCAAGACTCGATGCTGGCACTGTTTTGTAATTTAAGAGTACGCTGCCATCTCCTCCAGGGTAACACTGCCTTACTGAGCCAGAGCCAGCTGACTGGGCATCATCACCTTCTAAAACTTTCTTTAGCTAGAGCCAGCTGACTGGGCATCATCACCTTCTAAAACTTTCTTTAGCACGCCTTTGAAAGTTATATAATTTGGGCTTATGCAGCACATGCCCATGTTGTGATGCCAATTTGGGCTTCTCACCTGAGTCTATGTTGAAACCTAAACACAGTTCCCAGACTGATCACAAACAACATCAATACTTTAACAAAGGTTACCCCAGGAAACTAATACTTGACAGACACTGTTTAATGATTAAAACATAGCAAAAGGCCTAATATTAATAAAGGAAATATAGAAAAAAAAACAGAGCTACTGGCCCACCTGGGTGACCACAGTAAACAAACCACAGCAAACTAATCCTACATAAGCATCTGCTTTGTCACATGACACATTTGTAAAAAGAGCCTATCAGAGGTGAGTCCCAGGAACTAAGCCAGGAAAAGAACACTAGCAGGCATGTGTTTGACACAATGAGCGGTCATTGACCTCAGAGCACTGGTATGAGATGAGAGCAGGAAAACAAGCAGAAGAGGGTGTTGCATCATAGTTGTAGTAACAAATCTCATATGTGTCATCACCTATCTTTTTGTTTTATAACTGAGCTTAAACTTGCTGCAAACTTAACTGGTTTCAAAAGCATGGCACTTAGTTAACCTTATTTTGAGTTTTGAGCTAAGCACAAACTAGGCCATCCTGAAACAGCAGCAACAAGCTTCCAATTTGACTGTAGATGGTTTCCTGAGTTCACCCACTGTGAGAAGGTGGGAAACCACATCGTCTGTCAGTCAGTCACAGTTGAAAAGAGAAAAGCATGGGATTGGTCTGTCGAGGGGTGTGTACTGATTCCTGCTCTCTTCCTTTGGTGTGTGTGTGTGTGTGTGTGTGTGTGTGTGTGTGTGTGTGTGTGTGTGTGTGTGTGGAAACTTTGAATAGCCAAGCCATCCTTGCATGAGAGCTCAGGTTGCACTTAGTGTTTGTATGCTTTCAATTCCCAACAGGGTGTACAAGTGACACCAGGGAGAAATGAAGGAGGATGTGTCACCCATTGTGAACAAGCACTTTTCTGAAACAGGCCTTGTACAATCAGTTAAATTCAAACGTTCCAAGATGTTTAACAATCACAAAACTATTATAGAGGGAATAACAACAAAAATGAACTTCCCTACATCATTAGTAAGTTGACCCTGCAGCTAACGCAAAATAAGCCACTTACAACTTTATACCCATTCGGTGTCAAGGTCTGCCACCAGGTCAAACGCCTTAATTGACTGGATTCGCTTTAGTGTTTCGACCTGCCGTGGAATTTCGAAAATGCACTTGTAATCTTGTGATAGAGTTGCATCACATTAGTATGGGTAGTGCTTGGTGTGTTTGTTGTTTAGTTTACTAACGATAAAAAGGAAACATCTAGGTGGCTCTTTGGCAGCTGTACTCATCTAGCTAACGATAACTAAAGTGGGTGGTACAAGTGCAGCTGCATCTAACTTACCTCCGATGCATCCAGCAACGAAGTCCATCACCGCTCTTCAACGTCACCTAGCCGAGGAATGACTAAATATTATCTAACAGTAAATGAAGAGGATCTCAACGACTCTTTCAAACTCTGTCGGTTTGTTTGTTTTTCCAAAAACTGTTGATTTTGTTGTACACCTGACAGTAACTGTCCTTAGCTGTTTAATCTAGCTACTGGACTGACACTTTCAGCTACCCTCTATGTTAGCTAGCACTGGCTAGCTAGTTTAGACCTGACAATCTGCAAATGCTGACGATTTTGTTTTCTCTGAGCAGTTATTTAGCTTGCTCTTTGTTTATTCGAATAAAACTCTCCTGTTCACCTACACGTCTTCCATGAACCGCTGAACTGCTGTGGCGTTTACAGTCAGTGCGGATACCCTCTCCCTCTGTCTGAATCAAGGAGGTTTATTTCTGTAGCAGCGAGCTAGCGACACAGGAAGCAACTGGCGGAGGGCGGGTATTACCGGCGTCGGGTCGAGTTTCAATCCAATCAGAGCTAAGAAATGACGCCAACACCCCGCGTCCTGCACATAATCCTCGTTATTCATTGGCTGCCTACCTCAAGGGCTCCCAATGTTGAAATGCGTCACAAGTGCTGTGTGATGTTTTGCTTTTAGATGGACTGTCCACAGAGCCTCGTGCCAGCGGGTGTAGGCAGTTTTATCCATAACAAATTATATTTTTCTAAAGCTTATTGACAAGTATTACAGTTTTTATTTATAAACGTGCAATTTCGAGAAATATTGTCAGATGATATGTGGCATTTAGCTCAAAGAGTCCCGTTTTTAAGGTTTTAAGAGGCGACAATTTATTGTGCAGAATATAATATTAAAATCAAAGTTTTTGTTTTCCATGTGATTTTTGTTGCATGTACTCAATTTTCTAAGCTATCCACCTCGAGTAGCTGTCGGCTACCTTCGGGTAAAATCGTAACCAATGTTGTCGGTCGACGTTGTTTGACTAGTATAGGGACACGCCTGTTCTTCACGTCACGTAACAGCAACACACTCAAGGTTATGGTTATGTAGCACATGCTAGAGGGAGAATGGGCTCACCCCTGTCAACTGTCCGTGGGTCAGTTGCCATCTGACAGGATGCACATCGTCGATTTTGTGTCCGGATCGTTTGCAGGTAACAGCTATAACGCTAGTCTAACAAGTTTTTAATTTAATGTTAGTGTTAGGAGGCTAGACTGTTTGCTAAATTGCTAAGTTAGCTACTGTAAGTGCCAGGCGATAACTATATTACAGCATTATATGAGAAGATTAAATGAACCTTTATGTTAACTTGTATGTCTTTTATAGCCTCATTTGCTTGTCCTTTTACATTTGGTATATCTGTGAACTCTAATTTAACCATATGTATTAAGTTGTTTGTAGTAGCAATAGTGAACTAAAGTGACATACTAGTCCTGTCGTCTGTACACTGAACAAACTGAACAAACAGTAATAATTAAAAGTAATAATTTCACTCAGTGAACAGGGTTGAAAGGCTTCCTTGTTAGTTTGGAGGAAAAATGTATTCCCTTTAGCATAACTCATGAATTAATCTATATAATAATTACTGTGAGATATTAAAAATACATCCAGTGAGTACAGGGACACATCCAATAGTACATTGGAAAGAATGAAATGGGAGTATGGTACCATTAAATTCACTGGTAATAACCCAATTGTGTTAAATTTACTGCCAAGTCAAGGGATGTGAAAAACTACAATAAACGGATCAGCTTGCTAGAACCCATACCATGGGTGCTACTAACTGTTGCTTTTATAATTGATTATATCCTAATTAACTTTTATTTAAATTTCAGATAATAAAATGTCAAAAGGTATTATAGATTTAATTCTCACAATAATCAGGACTAAATCATGTCTAGTAGTCAAGGGTATTCTTTTTTTTGATGTAAAAAGATGTAAAACAGATATGCAATAAATCCTCACATTTGACCTTCCTGCCAGCTGCACAAGATTAAAAGGGTTGCAGTTAAAGCTCACAAGCTTTCGCCATCGCAGAGTTTCTGCTGTGCCCTTGATGCTCTCTTTTTTCTGGAAACACACAGGGGCTTGTGGAGTCGCAGTGGGCTACCCTCTAGACACCGTGAAGGTACAGTAAGTGGAGAGTATGTGAAACAGTCAAGATGTCTGTAAAACAAACGGCCGTCATTTTCACATCATTTTCTTAACCTTTCCAGGTCCGGATCCAGACCCAGAGGCAGTTTACTGGAATATGGCAGTGTGCCGCAGCAACATTTTCAAAAGAAGGGGTAAGTTGTACTGGCGTAGTCTCAATGATATTCTGTGAACAATGTGTTTTGTAGATCCGCTAAAAAAAAGGTTCACAGTTGTTTCTAAATGTGTTACTCATGTTTAGGTAACAATGTCAACAGTGTTAATAACTCATGAGCTATACATTTTTGGCAACTTTCCTAGTCAAAAATTATTCAGTATCTCCATACCATGACTTTGCATTTGAACTTGAATACCAGTTAGCCTCAGATAGAAAGTTAAAGCAATTAATTGCTAAAAGAAAAAAAAAGTACCCCCCCCCCTCCCACCCCCAAAAAAAAAAAAACAGTGAAGTGATTAGGATACAGTGGTTGTTTGTTTTGTTTTTTCACTACTTCTCACATGTGTTTCACTTGTTTTTTCTCATTTGTGTCATTAGGTGCATGGCTTCTTCAAAGGGATGTCATTACCCATTACGACAATCTCTATGACTTCCTCAGTGGTGTTTGGTACATACAGGAACTGCCTGCAGTGTCTGAGCCAGCTGCGAGGAGCTGGTTGTGGTCCAAACACCAAACTAGAGGTCTTCCTGTCTGGTATGGCAGGCGGTATAGCTCAGGTAATGGAGACAGTTATATAAACCACATGAAAAGTTTCATGTACATCAATAATGTGCTTCATTCACCTGCAAATTAGTAACACAATACATGGTTTTCATGTTTATCAGGCATGTGAAATGAAGGTGCTATTATAGCGGTGCAGATTGTTGTTGTGTTAATTGTGCAGGTTTTGAGATATCTGACAGTCTTCCTATCTGCCTCTAACAGATATCAGTGATGTCTCCAGGTGACATAGTTAAAGTACGACTGCAGTGTCAGACAGAGTCCAAGCGAGGAGGAGCCAACTTGCCCAAACCTAAGTACCGTGGTCCAGTTCACTGTCTGCTGAGTATTATCAAAGAGGAGGGTTTCCGCGGACTCTACAGAGGAGCTCTGCCGCTTATGCTAAGAGATGGGCCATCATACGCCACATACTTTTTGACTTATACCACTATCTGTGAATGGCTAAAAGACAGTGGCAAGAAAAGACCAGGTGAGTGAAGTCTATGTCAGTTTGCCACCAGGTTCTTTCTTGTTTTCTTTCTTTTGTGTAAGTTGCTTGAGTGGTTGACATTTGCAAGCAAGACTCCTGTTGCATGTCGCATCCATGGCAGCACCAAGTCATATGCATGTTTTCACGTTTTAATTACAGCCCTGAGTTATCTGATTAATTCTTTAAAAATAAACATTGGGCACAATTTTATATCTGATAAACATTTGACAGTGTTTATGGCAATGAAATTATTTAATCACTTATTATCCCCTTTGTATTACAGTGAAAGTATACAGTAAAAGTGTTGCATAAGCTGTAAACTACCCCCTTGATTTTAACATTACCATAGCTTCCAATGATAAACACCACCAAGGGCAGAGGCCAAAAACGTCCCCGTCATGTTACAAATTACTTGAGGATTAAAAAGACAAGTTAACATTTTAAGGTTTAGTGTGTCCCTTTAACATCATTGTCTTCTCTTTTCCTCCAGATTGGAGTGGTGTGATGCTGGCTGGTGGAATAGCAGGAATGGCAGGTTGGACCGTAGGAACACCCATGGACGTGATCAAAGCCCGCCTGCAGATGGACGGAGCTCGGGAGACGAAGCGATACAAAGGTTTTGTCCACTGCATTACTGAGACAGTGCGGGTGGAAGGAGCCGGGTTTTTCTTTAGGAGCTTAGGCATCAACTGTCTGCGCGCATTCCCTGTTAACATGGTTGTGTTTGTAACATACGAGGTTCTCACCAGTTTACTCCTAGCCGGACCAGACAGCGTGGACCCGCCTCGGTTACCGCTTGAATAGTATTGACTACCTCCATTTTCATCTCATATTCTGTTATGTAGTTTGTCTGTCTGTGTTAATGCGTGTTTTTACAAGGACTTAAATAGTAACAGACAGACAGACATTTGGCACGAAAATGTACGCATTGCAACATTTTAAAAGGAATGATTGTTTACGCAGCTATCATTGGTGCTTTTCTGTTACATGTTTAATATTCAGCTAGCGAAGGTAATGTATCCTAATATGCTCAGGGTTAACTTGTCAGTAATCAGCACTGTTGGTACCAGAGATCTGACCTGCACCTTTCTGGCCACTAGATGGCCTCCCTGGCCAGTTTGTTTCCTTTTCTCAGTTTATGCCGGGAGAGCAGTGCACCAAGAAACTGCAATACTGCTAGAATTTAAAATATGTTTGACTCTACTCAAGGCCATTTAAGTCCTTGAATGTAGAATTTATCAATAAGCTGCGGTACGCACAATTTAGCAAGCATGATACCCGTCCAGGCCCATGCTGTATGTTTGCATATTTGCATATTATTACGTCCATTTCTCATCTCCAGCTCAGTAGCAAAATGGTAGATCTGGACAGTCTGACTTAAGCATAATATCATGCTATTTTAAACCTCAATGAAATGGAATTTTTAGGAATAGAATTACCTTGAAAAAAAAGAATCACAGTTCTCAATAATAAAGCTATGGAGCACATCTATAATATTTGTTCCTTACCTCCATCTTCTCGTACATTTACAGAATTTTATGCAATTTTGCTCACAATGTAACACTCATTGAATTTAACCACTACAACGGATGTGTGTAGACAATGCAAGGCTGTAGCTTTGGTTTCAGAAATTGGGGGATACAATGAAATCAGAGTTTTTCAAACAGGGAAAAATACGTGAATGATATTTCTGGTGATTTGTTTGTATAATTATCATGGAAATGTTCATTGTGCCTTCCACAATAAAGGTCATGCAAGAGAAGAATTTAAAAGGTGTATTCATTTCTGTTTTAGTGCAGCTCAAATGCTGCTGAGCCAACACATGAGTCCTTCATTGACCTCAAACTGAAAGCTATGCAACATCATGTATTTTCAACTCTAACCATGTCATACTGTCAGCAAGAAAAGACTGGAAAATGTAGTGACCGAAAAATCAGTCCCTACTTCAAGCATGGCCTTGGCGTTAATCAATAGTTAATTATAGCACGTTGTTTATCATCTATAAATCAAAATGAGTGCACAAGTGTCTACAAGTGGCAATTTATCTGACCACAGTGCCCTCTCCTGAGGGAACACATAATCTAATAAGTGCACTGTGGATGTGAATATGAGCTATGATGTAGTTAAAAATATACATGGCCATCTAAGCTTGGAAAATATTCACATATCTGAGTTTTAGCTGGAAATTGGATTTTAATTTTTCATAATTCGTGGAGAACTGGAACTTTCACTGTGAAATAATCACAATAAATACTTAAATACTCTCAAAATGATTGAGTTCTTCACAACAAGACACAGTGACACCCGGTTTCCAGGTAGAGGAGGCACTGTTGAAATTTCTCTTGCATGATTTATACAGATCCAACGTTTTTGTGTGCCGTGCTGTTCTGTGGAGTTGCACTGCCATCTAGTGTGTGAGAAGGACACCATCTCAGTAATGCCATCCACACCGCTGTCCGCAAATACATAACCGAGATAATTACATGGTCTGCACAGGCTTTGCTCCAATCAAGACCATGTTAATGTGTGGTTCAACTAAAAATTCTCTAAAAAGATGCTCGAGATAGATGCTTTGGCACTTTCTGTCAAATTCAAACATTTAATTATACTCTAAATTGGATTTCTATGTATGATATCTACAAGGTTACAGCTGATTGCATGTTTAATTGAAAATATGTAACTCACAACTAGAAAGACTATTCGATCATAATGAAGTCTAACGGAATGTATGCAATTTAATGTGCATATAATGTAATGTAATTACCTTACTTTGACTTGTTTTGAGGATCCTTAATTAAACATCTATGTAGAATGTTGTACAGACTTTAAACAAAAAAGTTTTTACATTTATATCTGGTGTTAACCACTATTATAAAGATATGAAAAAATAGTATAACAATGAACACCTTTAAATCCTTACAAGTGTTGTCCAGGTGAGACAGAAAAAACAGAATAACAGAAATAAACTGGATACTGTTTCAGCAATGTGAGTTTGAACGGATGCCTGCACAACAACATGGATTACAATATGGATTATACAGTTACAATTATAATACAGATTACTGCAGTGCAAGATTTAGTCGATCCTGTTGCTTCATGAAATCTGGCATATCTCCAGTGTATTAAATAAAAGCACAAATTGTTCCTTACATCCGTCCAGTATATGCAAAAACATTGTTTTATTTTCAAATGGGGTTATGGGGAAATTTACACAACTGAAAACAAAAAATATCCATATTGTTTTATCTGACCTGAGGTGGACCATGCAGGAACAATTTGAGGTTACTATTTTCCCTCTTGTTCTCCTCAGACAGATTTCCAACAGGAAGTGACTGGTGAAGCTTTGATCATTATAACTGATTTTCTGCTTTAAATATAGCCTCTGAACCCATGATATGAATGAAAGATCGGTACAGTTACTGCTCAATAAATGAAATGTAGATGTAAAGGGGTGCTTCAGTTTTAATTGGATGAAATTAAAAAATAAAAGGGGACGCAAGAGTCACCATCTGCCCATAACTCCCCAAAATGTCGCTGGATCCCTTCCAAAAGCGTCTTGAACGTAGCAGCCACCTCTTCTTTTCTCTTCCAAAGTTGGATGGACAAACAGGCCTATTGTTTAATGAAATAATTAACTCAATCAGATTACCCCACGAGTAATATCAAGTAGAAACCAGGAAATATTTTAAGAGCCGATTGAGTGCACCGCCACTGCTCCAACTGGCCCACAGACATTACATTACTGCAACAACTCTGTGTCTCTTTCTCTCTCTCTCTATCTCTCTTTCTCTCTCTTTGGAGTCTTGACAATTATGAACTCCACCAAATACTGTACGTGTTAAATTGATGTTTTCATCTGTTTTACATGTGTAATTGGCTCATGCTTATCCCACCATGGGTGCAATAAAGACCTATTATAAAGAACTCAACTGTAATGATTTAATTGCCTTATGAGTAACAGATTTACTCAGTGGATAAAGTGGGGTTGTGTCGAGAGAGACCCCAGGAGATCTGTTTTCAGTCAGTTCTGTGGCAGGCTTGTGGATTACAAGCTGTAAACTAGAACAAACTAAACACAAAAGAGTGTCTTTTTGCATATTTATAGCTTCAACAACGAACACTGTTGTGCATGTGCAAATCCACTTTTAACGATGCACAGCCAACTTACAGGGAACTTATTCAACTAACTGCAAAAACACGATTCATAACTTGAAAAAATTTGTCAGTTGGTGTTAATTAGTTAGTAGTTACCCAACAAAACAATTTAGAGAAGTTCTGCGTCGTTCAGTTGCAAGCCAGTGCCAGGCATCATAAACTAGGCTTTTCCACAATGGGATACTTGCTAAAATTCTAGGAATTGCAGTCTGTACTGCGAAACAAGAAAACCCGTGAATGTTGCCTTTGTTAGCTGCTTTTAATTAAACCCTGCATTTCTTTTCCCCTTATGCAACAGTCCACAATTATGCAATTATGCAAGCATCTAAAGATCTGGTTGAATAAAGTTACAGGCAGTTTGCTCGTGAAATGACTGTTGAGTTGAGCGACACCTCTTCACAGTTGTGTTTGATTTATTTCCAGCGTGTTTGTTGTATTTGATCACATGACATGGTTCCCAGATTAAAAGCAAAAGCTCCACCAGAGACATGAACTGTTATGTTATAGTATTTATCAGTGATCAAAAAAGGTCTTTTTCTTGGATTATTACATTTTTGGGCCATTACGTTTGGAAGCAAGATATGTATCACTTCTGTTACACAAAGCAGATCATGCAACAGATTATTACCCCAGTTGTGAATATTGTGTTGGTGGTATTTTAATAAGCAAATCAGTGGGATGAGTGCTAGCACATGACTCACATCAGAAGAGCCTGTCATGTCGTTCAGCTGTATCACAGTATATTTCTATGCTGTTTATTCAGGGATCACACAGAAGCCTGGGCTGCCCTCATTAAAACTTCCTAATTATTAAGAGGCACGTGCTGCGGACAGTCGTGTAAAATAGACTGATTCAATCAGAATAATTCTTTCACAAACAACATCTAAGTAAGTCCACGGCGGTGTTGAAACACATGATAAATCAACCAGCAGGGCTCGCATGGGTGACTCATTAAATGATGGGTGTTCACATAATGTCTGGAAAGCTTCATTTTGTTGTCAGAATCGGTCCTCAGTAACTACCACTTGGGCCCCCTTTCACCAATTGCTGTTTGGGCTATTTTGGGAGCTCTGCGCTCCCCTGTTAGTGACGTGTGCTGCTGGGTAAATTTGCAGCTCCGGCGGCCTGGGCCTGCAACCTCAGATGGCATCAATCGGGAGAAAATGGAGGGGTGGGAGGGATGAAGAGGAAGGGTAGCAGCAGCGATGCTCGAAGGAGAGGAACAGAGAGGGAGGAACTGGACATGAAACATTAAAAACACAACTATGATGACACAAGGAGATAAGTGGGGTTTGAATAAGAAGTGGTGCTGTTGAAAATAGCAACAAAAAAAAATTAGCAACTATACAAAGGAAGAACTTAATCAAATAGAAATAGTCAGAAAAACAAACGTCTTTTTTAAGAGAATCTGAATCCTTGTAAATTGGATAGAAATGAAAGGAAATGTGCCCGCATGAAATGAGAGAGATCAAGGATGTATTCATGAGGAAAAACGAACTCTTGTTCTTATTGACTAACAAGTGGAAGGAGTGATAGGTGATGATGGATGTGGTGGAGTGGGGGCGCTATTGTACTTCGTACTCAAATGAGGAGAGTGGAGAAGGGAAGGAGAAAAGGACACACTGAATACATCTTTCTGATTCTCAGTGCAAATTCTGTCTTAAATGCTGTGCTTGGTAATGTGTCTGTGTTAGACTTGTTTTGTTTCTGTGAAGACTGCCACATGACAAGCAAAAGTGATTTTAAATGGAAATGTTTTCAGCATTCAATTGTTAAAAAAAAAAAAAGAACAAAGAAATCATTACTGTCCATCACTCGTTCCCACAGTAAAATCGTCAGCTCTTCTTTTGTATTCAGCCGATACAGCTTTATTTGTTTTGGTAGTCTAACTCAGATCATGATCAGTCAACACACACACACACAGGCAGACATGCACACACTTATAGGATCATCAGAAATATCAGCTAAAGAAAAAAAAAAAAAAAAAAAAAACCTTCCTGAAAAGAATGACTTTCTTTGACATTATGATCAGTTGTTACGGTAGTGAGGTGCATGTTACTGCAAACTAGTCTTTCCCAGTTGAGTGTTAGTGTGCTGACATGGTTTTAAGCTGAGATCTGTCTTATTTAGTTGTCAAAAATAACCGAGAAAACTAATGCAGGCTAAGTAACGACAACAAAGCATCATTCATCCCGTGGAGTAAGTCAAACCAATTTCACACTGGTGTTTTAAGAGTGCATAATTGCAGACCATGATAAATCTGGCCATCCATGCTTTCACTGTCAGTGAAAAGTGGATTTAATTGTACTTTGCCAAAGCAATAATGGCAGCGGCACTAAAGAGTGCAACAAGCTGGCAGATATGTTTAGAGATTCAGTGGCGGCAGGAGATCCCGTATGGATGTTTGTGGAAATACCTTTATCAGCATTTCAGAGATTGAAACTATAGGAAAAACCTGATTGAATTATACAAGAAAAAAAGAAAAGTTAAATTAGCTACAAGCTACAATAAAAGTGTTATAGTAAATATTGCAAAATAATGCGACCATAAACCTTGAGTGGTGTGACCTGAGGACACAATTACCCCTCACTCCAGAAAAGGGTGAATTGGTCGCACTGAGCAGTAATTCCAGGATTTTAGACAAGCAGCACTGTACATAT